TATGGAGGTTCCTCAAAAGACTCCATATAGAGCTCCCCTATGACCCAGCAATCCCACTTTTGGGCATTTACCCAAATGATCACAAACAAGGCCACACTAAAGCTACCAGCACAACGATGTTTATTGCAGCATTATTTACCATAGCTAAGATATAGAACCAACCCAGATGCCCCTCAGTAGATGAATGGATCAAGAAAATGTGGTATATATAAACAATGGAATTCTATGCCTCCATCAGAAAGAATGGCATTGACCCATTTGTTAGGAAATGGAAAGACTTGGAAAAAATTATATTTAGTGAAGTAAACCAGGCCCAAAGAAACTTAGGTCCCATGGTTTCCCTTGTTTGCAATAACTAGTATATGTCTGAGACAAGCAGAAACGGTCAGATAAGTTGATGTTAGGGAAATGAACCCTAAGATAAGTATTCAAATGTTTTTTCTTTCAGGTGATTGTTTCTAACACATTTATAAGATTATTTCTTTGTTGCTTTGTATGTCCCTCCCCCATGGTATAAACCCTGCTTTCACTGTATTTGAGGTTGGTATAATTTGTGGAGGGGAAGGGAAAAAACAAATCTTTAAAATAGTGATACAGGTGGATCCATTGCAACAATGAGATGTACAAATCGTTATGTCGAAACAAACTTTACAACTTTGGTGGGGGGGGAGGATTAGGTGGGGGGGGACAAGGGGGAGGCTGGCAAGGGATGGGAAGGGGAAACAAAGGAGGAGGTAACAATGCTTGATAAGAAATGTACTCATTATCTTGCCCATGTAATTGTAACCCCTCTGTACAGTATTTTCACAATAAAAAAAAAAAAGAACTTCATGGAAAACAAAAAAGAAGTGGGGGCTAGAGGTGTGGCTTAAGTGGTAGCGCACCAGCCTAGCAAACTTGAAGCCCTGAGTAAGTAGTGACAAAAAAAAAGCAACAGAAATTTATTCTCTTGAATTCTAAAAGCATGTGGGTCGGGCCACAGTCTCTGTGGGCTTCAGAAGAGAATCCATTCTTTGCCTCTTCCAGTATAGCAACATTCCGTAGCTTGTGACCACAGCACTCCAAATATCCTCTCACCTCTTTTATAGCTATTGTTTTCATTGTAGTAAAATTCACTGCATAAAATATACTAGTTTAGCCATTGTAAGAACACAGTTCAATCACATGCATATATATATATGGACATATACATATATATCTATATTCATAGTCTATACAACTATCACCATCATCCAGCTAGGAAAACTGAAAGTAGGGCCAGGAATGTAGCTCAGGGGCAGAGCAATGTGTAAGGCCCAAGTTCAATTCCTAGCAGTGTGAAAACAAAAAACTGAAAGTCTGTACCCACTGAGCAATAACTACTATTCACCTTCCCCCAACTCCTGACTTTATGAGTTTGATTAGTTAACACAGTAGCATCCACCATTCTTTTTCTAACATTATTTTTGACACATTTGATGCAACGAGTCTTCAAGATTTATCTGTTGTGGTCTATGTCAGAATTTCCTTGTTTTTCAGGTTAAATAATATTCTATTGTATGAGTATGTCACATTGTGCTTATCCATTCATCCATAGTTCAGTAATTCAATTGCTTTGCTTCCACATTTTAGCTGTTATGAATGAAATGTTTTATCCTTGTTGGCGGTACAGGGTTTGAACTCAAGGCCTCGCACTTGCAAGACAGGTGCTCTACCACTGACCCATGCTGCCTACAGCCCATTTTTTGTTATTGTTGGCATTTTGCTTAGGCAGATTGTAAGGAGGGTTTTTATATTTGTTTTTGCACTTATTATTTGGAGGAGGTTCCTCAAAAGACTCCACATAGAGCTCCCCTATGACCCAGCAATCCCACTTTTGGGCATTTACCCAAACAATCACAAGCAAGGCCATACTAAGGCTATCAGCACAACTATGTTTATTGCAGCATTATTCATCATAGCTAAGATATGGAACCAACCTAGATGCCCCTCAGTAGATGAACTGATCAAGAAAATGTGATACACACACATATACAAACACACACACACACACACACACAAATGGAATTCTATGCTTCCATCAGAAAGAATGACATTGCCCCATTTGTTAGGAAATGGAAAGACTTGGAAAAAATTATATTAAGTGAAGTAAGCCAGGCCCCAAAAAAACGTAGGTCCCCTGGTTTCCCTTATTTGCAATAACTAGTACATGTGTAGGACAAGCAAAAAAGGCCAAAAGCTATGTACATATGACCATATAAGATGATGTTAAGTGAAACGAACCCAAGATAGGGACACAAATATCTTTTTTCTTTCTTGCTATTGTTTCTAACGTATTAGGGGGATACGTTCTCTCTCCTTGCCCAGGACATGCCTGGCCACAGCCTGCCCTCTTTATATTCCTGTTGAAGCGGGAATGACAAGTGCATGCCACCACACTCAACTTCTATTGTGATGGATTCTTTTTTAAATTTTATTTTATTGTATAGATGCTGTACAGAGGGGTTACAGTTATATGAGTAAGATAATGAATGCATTTCTTATCCAGCATTGTTATCCCTTTGTGATGGATTCTTGTGGACATTTTTGTCCAAGCTGGTCTCACAGAGATCCTTCTGATCTCAGTGTCCTGAGTGCCTAGGGTTATGGGCATGAGCCACTAGCACCTGGCTACTCACTCTTTTATATTTTTCTTATTTGTTTTCTTTGGGGGTTTGTTGTTGGCTTTGTTTTGTTTTGGGGGAAAGTCACATTCGATAGCCCAGGCTATCTTGGAACTTGTGATTGTAGTTCTCTGCCTTCCTCCTCATCCTCCTCCTTTTCTACCTCCTCTTCCTTTTTCCTCTTTTATAGTATTGGAGTTTGAACTCAGGGTCTTGCTCTTGTATGGCAGGCACTCTACCACTTGAGCCACTCTGCCAGATCTTTTTGCTTTAGTTATTTTGTTGTCTTTTTTTGCCAGTCATGGGGCTTGAACTCAGATCCTGAGCACTGTCCCTGAGCTTCTTTTGCTCAAGGTTAGTACTCTACCACTTGGATAGCACTACTTCAAGTGTTTTCTGTTTATATGGTACTGAGGAATCAAACCCAATGCTTCATGCGTGCTAGGCAAACACTCTACCACTGAGCCACATTCTTTGCCTCTTTAGTTACTTGTTTTAAAACAGTCTCACATTTATGCCTGGTCCAACCTGGTCCACCATCCTTCTTTACTCTTCAAATGCATGCCACCATGCCCACCTTTAATTGATTGAGGTAGGTGTCTTGAAAATGTTTTCCTCAGGCTGACCTCAAACTTTGGTCCTTTCAGTCTCTTCCTCCCAGGTAGCATAATTACAGGGATGAGCCACCATGCACAGCTGTTTTTCCACTCTTTGGGGGAGGGGAAGTGTTAGGGTTTAAAGTCAGGGTCTTGAACTTACTGTGGACTGAGCCACTTCCCAATTCCACCGCCCCCCCCGCCATACACACACACTTTGGGGGGGTCATTGAACTGTAATCCTCTGATCTCTACTTCCTATGTAGCTAGGATTATAAGTAGAGCCAATGGGAACTGACCTCTTTTCTAGCTCTTCTATCAACACTTGTCACTGGATTTAGGATTCACCCAGGTAACCTAGGATAAGCTCCTAGGCTTAGAGTCTATAACTTAAATCATATCTTTTGCCATATGAGGTGACAGTCACCAATTCCTGGAATTAGGTGGAGTCTATCTTTAGCACCACCATTCAGCCTACTATACCATTAATAATTATTTCATTTTATTTTGTCACTCCCCTGGGGTGGCCAAGAAATAGAATCAAATCAAATATAGCTCTTCCTAGGCTAAAAGATGTATGTGCTAGGGGCAGGGAAGATAGAGTTTTTTGTTCCTTGCAAATGTGTAAATCAAACATAATTTAGTTACATGTCTATTAAAGCCAGCCTCTCTCTCTCTTTCTTTCCCTCTCCCCCAGTCAGGTACAACTGCCCTGTTCTTTGCTGCTCAGCAAGGCCACAATGAAGTCGTGAGATTTCTCTTTGGATTTGGAGCATCCACTGAATGTAGAACCAAAGTAAGAGAGCCTTCTTGATTTAATACCTTGTCAGAGGACCTTAGCAGTCATAGATCTTTATTCTGCCCTTAACTGTAACTATAAACTTGTACTTCCTTTTCTGTAAGATTCCCAAACTGAAGGAGGGGGTTTTACAACCTTATGGTAGGGGTTCAAGGCTTGTTCTATTCTATTCTATTCCAAACGTTGACTTTTTCTGGAGTAAACTTGGAGATTTTCCAAAAGAGCTGCTTAGACCTTTTCTTGCACTTTTTGCTTTCTCTCTGCTACACTAAATTTTAAACCAGGAGGGATACAGTGGAAGATGACTGTCTAACTCTCCCTGTTTCTGTGGGCTTTATTCTATCTCAAGATTAATCTCTGAGGCAGGTGCTGGTAGCTGATGCCTGTAATCCTAGCTACTCGGGAGGCTGAGAGCTAAGTTCAAAGCCATCCTTGGTAGCAAAGTCAATGAAAGGCTATGTACTCTCCAATAAATTACTCAGAAAGGCCAGTTGTGGCACTGTGGCTCAAGTGACAGAGCACTAACCTTGAGCCAGAGAAGTTCAGGGACAGGGCCTAGGACCCTAGTGTGTGCGCATGTGTGGGCACGCACGCACACACACACACACACACACACACAGATTAACCTCAGTACTATAATAGGAATTATTATTGGCAGGAAGCTGGCTTTTGTGGGTTTTCTCATGAAATAAACAATACATAATTAAAACATACAGCTCAGCAAGAAGTTGTGGTTCTTTATTTAAATAAGTTCCTGATTTTCATTTTTGACATACAGGTAAGAAAATTGAGATTGCAAAAAGATCACTTTTGTGTTCACAATATGTTTTTCATTGTTAGCCATTTCTGATCTGCAAATAAGTTAAAATATTTGAAAATCTGCTCAAGTTGGAAACCTTTCAGTTTTTATTTTAATCTATTGATATTTAGATACCTAGTTGGGGGAGGGGGGTTCCAGTGGATTTTTTTCCTGTTAAAAGGATGCTATTAAATAGATCTGAATTTCATGTAAGAGTTCTATCTTTTCCAAAACCTGCAGTTGTACTGTGTATATGCCCTCAAACATATATTAACACAAGATAAGTTATTTTCTATTCAATATCACTTTATTTCTTATTATCAGTACAATCAACTCAAAACAGAAAGTTCTTTAAACCTATATCTCAACAAAGTCAATATATCTGTACCTATATCTGAACCAAGTCAAAATGCTCATGTATGACTGAATATTATTCCAGTCTTTGTTTTGGTTAGCAAGTCAACACTTGCTTAAAGCCTTTATACATGAACCACTCTGTGCTGTTGCAAAAACCTGCAGAACACAGAGGCCTAGAGAAGTTCCACATGTTTCCATGAGGTCAACTGTAGGTGTCTAAGAGCTTTCCCTGGGAAGAAGAGAATGTCAAGAGATTATAGTATAAATGTATTGCCAAAAGTGATTTTGCTTCAATAACTGTTCTCTTTCTTATACAGCTATACAAATAATAGTCTACAAACGTGTTTTTAAAAATCAAAAGACCCAGCACCAATGTACCACCTGTAAACCTAGTTAATCAAGAAACTGAGCTCTGAGGACCATGGTTTAAAGCCAGCCTGGTCAGGAAAGTCTGTGAGACTCTTATCTCCAATTAACCACCAAAAAGCCACAAGTGGTGCTGTGGCTCAAGTGGTAAAAGAAACCAAACCAAAACAAAAACCTCAGTCCCTGAGTTCAAGCCCCAGGACTAGTGTTCTCTCTCTCTCTCTCTCTCTCTCTCT